TCCTTGCTCTGAGGTTGGCAGAGGGTTATGGAGGGAGGTTTTGGGGTGCCAAAGGACCTTCTAAAGCACGGAATGTGGTTTTTATGCTGGAGACGTAGAACTGCTTTTTTTGAGTAGTCTTTTTGTTTTTCAAATTAATGAAGGTGGTGAATGACGGAGCAGATCACGTCTTCCCCCTTCAGATGGCTTCAAGAAAGCATAGAGCCAAATTTCTGGCCACGTTTAGCGAATGAGAAGGACTTCCTGGACTGCATTTTTGTGGATCAGCTTCATTCCTTACTCCTCTTTGCCTTCAGTAGATATTTTTTGGTCCTCTCCTGCTTCTCTTTGATTAGTTGCCATTCTGTTTTATGTGCCATATTGTGTGTATCCTAAGTTTGTTTTTGGAGCACATTTTTTAAGACTCAAATTGAACCTGCCTTTTCTGCTTATAAAGTCGTGAGGTCTCCGGAGGCCACTGTGTGCGTCTGTGCGTCTGGGCCCCACGTTTATCTTCTTCTTCTATAAAACGTGGAAACTGACATCCGCTTGCTGAGACGTAGTGAAGTGGGAGCAAGCATGACTGCTGACAGAGAAGGATGCATGGCCCAGAATGGTTTCTCCTGCTGCTACCCAGGGGTTGGGGATGGAAAAATACTGGATTTTGGCGTTTTTGCTTTAATCAGAGCCCTAGATCCTATTCTCTGAGAATCATGTTTGGAAACCATTTGTTAAGCATTCATCTGTGGTTACTAACTATTATAGCTGCTTGCAGTGTTAGTTCATCAAATAGGTATTTATGAGATACCCTACGACAGGCCCCGCACTGGGGATCCCAGGCAGGGAGAGAGCACATGGATACGAGCATAAGTGTGGGCAGAGGACAGGCTGAGGGTCAGCTACCTGAGCACAATCCTGGCTCCCCTGTTTAATCACTGTGTTCGTTTAACAAGTGCTTATTGAGTGCTGGTTGTGATCTAGGCACTGTTTCAGGCTATGGATCGAAGGTAACCAAGACAAGTAAGATCCCCACTTCCCTAGTACTTCTAGTCCAGTGAAGGGAGAGTTTAAAAGTAAGTAAAGATAAACCCCATTAAGCTGTACACTTACAATGGCTAAATTTTGTAGTGTGTAAATTATACTTCAAAAAAGGTGTTTCAAAAGAAAATATCTTGGTCCTCACAGAGCTGGCTGTCAGGTTTGTCCCAACACAGTTGATCCACCTCATCTGTCACACGTTTTGTGTCTGCCCATGCTCCTGCTTGCTAAAATTTATTTGTAGCTCTAAAATCAGCACCGGGCGATTCTGCAGTCGTTTGTGGACGCACACACAGCAGTGGAAAATTTGAGTCACCCCATGAGCACGTTCCCAGCTGAAGTCAAACAAGACCACGCTTTGCCTTCTAGTTTCAGCTTTCCTTGTTGTAAGCAAGTGTCCTTTTTGTGGTCTATTTCGTGCCCCCCCCTTTTCTTTTTCCTTTTTGCATGTTTGTGTGTCTTCTTGCTGATTTTGCTGTTTTAAAATGATTCTCACCCCGGGTGCTGAAGCTCTATTGTTTGTAAGCATGAGAAGGCTCTGTTACGCCTCACCGAGAACATACGTGTGTTAGATAAGCCTCCATAGGCACGAATTGTAGTGCTGTTGGCCATGGGTTCAGTGTTCACGCTTCATCAAGATACATTAAATATAGCATCTTTAAAGAAAAACGCACATAAACAAGGTTGTATATTGATACGTTGATGGAAATGTTGTGACCAGAGACCGTGGGTACCTAACCCTGTATTTCCCCGGGGAGAAACAGTCCTGTGTCCGCTAACTCAGCATCCGCAGTGACTTCATTGAACAGAACTAATGTGAATAACAAGAGGTGACTCTATCTTCAGGACTAGGGAAAAAATACGTGTACAGCCCGTACACCAAATGTCTATCTTCCTCAAAGAAAAAAAGTGGAATGATTCTTTCAGGAGTTAGAGTAGCGGACTCTATACATTTATATACACTGTCAGATCCCGTTTTATTTAGATGAGCTTTTTGGTGTCAAATATTGGTGACCCTGTGAAAAATATTAATGAAAAGTACTAGAATGTGTCAGGAAGTTTTTATTATATACCTAGGTGTTTGTATGTTGACATGAGTAAACAAAAGTTGACCTACACATTTTCCACGTAGCTAACTATACTTCAAATACTTTGATGTACGTTGAGTAGATTTATATCTTGGCCTGTAGGATACTGCAATAACCGTTTCACTGACAGAGCTAAAAATGTGATTTGAATGTTATTTATAAGGTGTAGCTCTTTTTAAATTTTTTTCACTCTTTCATCCCTTGTGTCAAGTTATATAAACACAGCTTGAGTTATAATGTCAAAATAAAATGAAATAATTCCAAATGGATGCATGCGTAGGAAGAGCGCTTGGGAATTGGCACCAAACATATGGAGGGAAACATGAACGCGGGCTGCTGAAGGGAGGAAGGCAAAGAACACAGAGGGGTGGTGATACTGGTCAGCCAAAACCTCGCAGAGGCCCACTCCACGCCACGAACTTAAAAGATGGGTGTGTTTCCCGGATGAAGCTGAATGGAGATTTGTGCCTAGAACATGCGCAGTGTTGGGTAAATACTGTCTTCTTGCCTGTCTGCTTGCCTTCTTCCTCTCTTCTTCCCTTCTCCCACACCCTCTGGCTTCCATGTCTTCTCTCGCAGGGCTGTCAGCCTGAGAAGACAAGGTTTACCCTTGAAGGAGTCATGGTGGACAGCACTGAGTCAGGCAGTTGGGTCAAGGATGACCACCGTGAGTGGAGTTCAGGAGGGGACACTGCCGTGGCTGCAGTGGTGGGGGGGCGGGGCTTCATGATGGCCTGGGTTCCGGTGGGTTAGCAGCCAGATGGTGTCAAGGAGGAGGCTGGGGTGACAGCCAGGTGACAGGGAGATGGCCAGAGTGATGGCAGTGGGGCAGCTCCCGCGAACGAGTGGGGACAGAACAGCTGAGTGAAGCAAGCCGGCCCAGACTCAACTTTTGATTTTCCATCTTGTCCGTTGAGTGGTTCCTGAGCCCTTCCCGTGTGCATCTGGGTTAGTCCCTGTGTGCAAGGAGTGGCACATGAGGAGAACTACAAGGAGGAGACTAAAAGGGTGGTACGGGGGGCACGGTGGAGGGCACCTCCAGTAGAAGAAGCCATCCCCGCCTGTGAGCTGTTAGGGAAGGCTTCCTGGAGGGGCTGCAGGGGAGCTGGGTTATGATGGATAAATGAGGTTCTGATCAATAGGATTTGGTGTGTGTGTGCGGGGCGGGGGGGCGTGTAACAGAGGTAGGATACAAAGTGAGAGGGGCTAAAACCCCCAAAAGGAAATAGTGAGTAGCACATTTTGGCTGAAACACAAGCAATTGACTAGAAGGGAGGTTGGGAGCCCCCTGAAAAAGGTCTTGTGGACCACAGTAGGAAGGTTTTGGGGTGAAGATCAGGGAAGACCTGTGTATTGTTTTTTTTTTTTTTTAAGATTTTATTTATTTATTTATTTGACAGAGAGAGAGAGAGACACAGCGAGAGAGGGAACACAAGCAGGGGGAGTGGGAGAGGGAGAAGCGGGTTTCCCGCCGAGCAGGGAGCCCGATGCGGGGCTCGATCCCAGGACTGACTGGAGCTGAAGGCAGACGCTTAACGACTGAGCCACCCAGCCTCCCCAAGACCTATGTATTTGGATAGGGCTTTGTGTTTTCCAGAGCTCCTTCTTATCCCTAGTCTCATTTGACTTTTTCCCTGCGAGCATGACAGAACACGTCCCAGACAACAGCACAAACACATGTGAAGCCTCATGCATCGCTGTGTACAAAGAGCACCTCAATGCAGAGACATGGGGCTTGTTGACGGGGACAGTGGCCGAGAACAGTCCGCTCCTTCTGGGTTGTTGAGAGTCCACCCCGGGAGGGTCTGCAGTGCGTCGTTCACTCGGTTCCACGCTGCTTTGGCTATGCCCAGTGTGTTTCCCCCACACCCATAGTACAGCCTTAAGACCTGTTTGTTTAGAGGAGAACCAGTAAGTCTTTACTGCTGAGGTGTATCCGGAGGCGTCCTCCCCTGCTTCGGAACGGTGTGGGTGGTGCTTCTGAGCCCCAGCTGCACATCAGAAACATCTGGGGAGCCTTTAACCACACTAGCAGCTGGGCCAGCGCCACCCAGAGCAGCTGGGGGACTACAAACGTCCCTGATTTTGTGCACAGGGAGACTGAGGCTCGGGGTCTGGGGTTACACAGCTAGCAACGGCAGAGGCAGCATTTGAACCCAGGCAGTCAGTCGATCCTTAAGTCCAAGCTTTGAATCCCCACATTTGGTCAGCTCTTCCCTGCAGGCCGAACTGCCCAAGTACTGATTTGGCTATTGATAGCCAGGTGACAAGCAGAGACTAGGGACAGCACAGGTAAGATTTTCGAGGCAGCTTTCGAAATAAACAGTAGTGTGGGGTGTTACATCTGGCCCCCCAGCACAGCGGACGTGAACTTAGCAGTTGCGGTTCTCGGTTTCTGAAGCTCGGGTGTAGACTTTGGGAGCTACTGTCCAGCGTGCAGTTAACCAGTGTGCTGGGGAGACCTCCGCCCCGTGGAAGCTTCTTGAAGTCAGAGGCCTCATTTTCTACCGGCTGCTGTCTTCCGCAGTGCCGGGTGCCTAGGGCTGACTTAATAAATACCTGAATGGATGGCAGGCAGGCCTGTGCCCTTAGCTTGTGAGCGCTCGGCTTGTTTGGTTTCATCTGCAGCAAGTACAAAAGCCTAGATACCACCCAGTGCCCAGCACTGTTTTGTTTGTTTTTAGTGCAGGTATTGGGAGACATGACGTTCAAGAAACACGGGGAAACAAGCAAACACAGTGCTAACTCCTCCTGAGGTTCTACTGTGTGTAATGGAACAGGTCTGTGGGTCTGAGATGCAAAAGGGAAGGGCCCTGGGGGCTGGTAGCAGGATCCGCTTGTTTCTTCTGACGTGAGCAAGGAGCTAAATTGGAACATTTTTCCTTTATTTTACAGGTCACCGCCAAGACTGCCTTCCTATTTATTTTACCTCAGTATAATGTTAGCGTGCCTACAGCAGGTAAGAAAAGCACAAGTCTCTGTCTTGCCCTGGCCTCGTTAACTCTGAAGGCCTCGGAAAACGTACTGTTCCTGTGTACATGCATGATCTTGTTAGCCATTGGAGCTCAGCCTCCCACGTCCTAGCACCGCTAAGAGCCAGCCGCGGGCCACGCGCAGCCCTCAGCCTGTGGCTCTGTCCTCTCCGGGACCTTAGGTCCCGCCGTCAGGAACCGGGCACTGCACCCCTCTTCCAGTAGCAAGGCGCTGGGCGTCCTCTTGATGAATAAAGGAGGAATTTTTGTTTGCCGAACCTAGTTCTTTCTTCACTGGTACAGAGGGGAATCATCTTGACTTCGAGGGGAGAGTCTCTTCTTTGCCTGACTCTCCCAGTGACTAGCTGAAGGATTCTGGGGGCAAATCCCCTACCCCATGGCCTATGGAGGATGTAGTCCCCGGAGCCAGACTCAGGGGAAATGGGGCTCCGGGGGCAGCCTGATCAGTTCCTTCGTCTGAGAGTCAAGCTGAGGGGCGCTAGCGAGAGAGGAGGAGAACTCCATGCTCAGGAGAGGAAAGACAGGAGCCCCTATGGCCATTGCAGGTGGTCAGGAAACAAGGCCAACGCTTGCTCGTTCCGAGGCATGCTCCATCCCTGGCGGCCACCATGGGTTGTGGCGCTCGGTGCCATGCGGCCTGAAGTCACATTCTGCCTTCTCTGCTCCTGCCCCTCAGCTCTTTTATTCTAAAATTGAAGTAGAGTCGACACACAGGTGTTACATGAACTACTCCTCTTGAAAATCCTAGTAACTAAGACACCCCTAGATCCAGGGGTACTTAGATTTACTGATTTAAATTGTTTAGCTTTTTTTTTTAAAGATTTATTTACTTATTTGAGAGAGGGAGAGAGCGAGCGAAAGAGAGAGAGAGAGCACTCTAGCACGAGCAGGGAGAGGGGCAGAGGGAGAAGGAGAGAGAATCCTCAAGCAGACTCCCCGTTGAGTGTGGAGCCCAACAACTTAGAGCTCGATCCCAGGACCCTGAGATCATGACCTGAGCCAAAATCAAGAGTCAGATGCCTAACCGACTGAGTCACCCAGGCGCCCCCTTTTTCTTTCCTGCTTTTTTTTTTTTTAAGAAAATTGTGATAAAATACACATAACACACAATTTACCATCTTAACCCTTAAGTGTCCAGTTCAGGGGCATTAAGCACATTCACACTGTTGTGCAACCATCACCGCCGCCCATCTCTAGAACTGTCTTCATCTTGCAGCACTGAAACTCGGTACTCGTTAAACAGTAACTCCCCACCCCAACCCCGCCCGTGCTACTTCCTGCCTCTACGATTTGACTACTCTAGGTAGCTTATGTAGGTGGAATCGTAGACTGTTTGTCTTTTTGTGACTGGTTAAAATTTATATTTGTAGATAAACATTTTTCAAAATACATGACTGGGTCAAGTACTATGCACATTTTAAAGGTTTTTATATATACATTGTGTGATACATGATACTCAGAGGAAATTTATAAAATGCAGATAAACATAGGAAGATAGAAATCACACATGACACCACCACCCAGCTAACCACTACAGTTCATGAGTGTTGATTTATAACCCACTATTTTTGCTTTTAGTATATGATGAGCCTTCTTGCCATGCCATTAATTATTATTCTGTTCAGTAAGATATTTTGAAAAGCTGCAGAGTATTTTTTTTTAAGATTTTATTTATTTATTTGACAGAGAGAGAGAGCACAGGCAGGGGAGTGGGAGAGGGAGAAGCAGGCTCCCCGCTGAGCAAGGAGCCTGATGCAGGACTCGATCCCAGGACCCTAGGATCATGACCTGAGCCGTAGGCAGTTGCCTAACCGACTGAGCCACCCAGGTGCCCCAGCTGCAGAGTATTTCTTAATAGGGATTACCACCAATTATCTATTCAATCCCATATTATTGGATATTTAAGTTTCCAGCTTCTGTTGTAAACGGTGCTACAGTAAACATTCTTGGGACTAAATTTTAACATGCATTTCTGATTATTTTCTCGGGATACATTCCTACTACTTGAATTTCTGGGTCAAGTACTATGTACATTTTAAAGGTTTTATATATGCATTGCCAAAATACCCTCTCTCATCTCATTCTTATGACCCATAACTCCTAAGCTTTTAAGGTTTTTTTTTTTTTTCCAAATTTAAAATGGAGAGGCTTTTTTTTTTTTTTTAGTGTCACGATGCCTATTTATTAATTTATAAAGAGAGATCCAGCTATTGAATGTTGTGTTGGTATTTTCATTGCATTTCTCCCTGAAGTCCATTTGTATGGGAAGCCAGATCATAACCCAACACTGCTTTATTAATTTAGCATGAGAAAGTACTGTCCTGGGGGCCACAGCAGCTGATGTGCGTGTGACCAGGGCATGCTTTTATTATAGGAAGGGCCTCAGAGATACTGTGGGTTCAGTTCCAGACCACCGTCGTAAAATGAATAGTGCAGTAAAGCACATCAGATGAATTTTTTGGTTTCCCCGTGCATATAAACAGCTCTGTCTACACTCTAGCCTGTTAAGCCTGCAATAGCATTATGTCTAAAAAGCAGATTCGCACCTTAAGTAAGAAGTTTATTGCCAACAAATGCTAACCATCATCTGAGCTTTCAGTGAGCTGTAATCTCTGATCACAGATGACCGCAGCAAACATAATAATAACAAAAGCCTTTGAAATATTTTAAGAGTTACCAAAATGTGACACAGAGGCAAGTGAACAAATGCTGTTGGGAAAATGGCCCTGATACACTTGCTTGACACAGGGTTGCCATTAAGCCTTCAATTTGTAAAAAAAATGCAGTGGCTGCAAAGTGCAGTAAAGCGAAGTGCAATAAAATGAGATATGCCTGCGTTTGTAAAGCCAGATCACGAGCGGAGGGTCGATTTCTGAGTTTGAAACTTTCCCAGACAAGTGATATCCTAAAAGAGTCCATCTCCTGCTGGGATGAGAAGGTAGACTTCTGGCTCCAGGGCTGAACCTGGAACCTCTGAGCATAAAGAGCTTCCCACCAGGATTTGGAGGTATGCCACTATTGATCATATCATGCTCTCATTTATTTTTTTTTGTTTTGTTTTAAAGATTTATTTATTTGTTTGGGGGGGGGGCACGGGGAAGGGGCAGAGGGAGAGAAAGAGAGAGAATCCTCAAGCAGACTCCTGGCTGAGCGTGGAGCCCAACACGGGACTCGATCCCAGCACCCTGAGATCATGACCTGAGCTGAAATCAAGAGTTTGATGCTTAACCAACTGAGCCACCCAGGCACCCCTCATTTGTTTGTTTTAAATAATTAATTAATTGATCAATCCAGACGAATGTTTGTGTGTCTCCTTTGCTCCAAGCCCTGGGTGTTAAGTAATTTACAAAACATGTCTGATTTCTTTCTTTCTTTTTTTAAAGGAATTGTTATTTTAAATTTTCACTAAAAAGCAATCTGGGAGGGGTACGACCTATTTGTAGATGAGCAAAGAGGTAAGAATTACATCTGAGTTCTTGGAAAGCATGAACAAGCAAGCAGAGTGAAATGAATTAAAGTTTTTAATTTTTATTTTTAATTTTAATTTTTCAATTTTTTTATTTGGGTGCAGTTGACATACAATGTTACGTTAGTTTCAGGTGTGCAACTTAGCTATTAGACAAGTTTATACCTTGTGCTAGGCTCACCACAAGTGTAGCTGCCATCTGTCAGCATTCGGTGCTGTTACAGTATCACAGACTACATTCCTTATGCTGTGCCTTTTCTTCCTGTGACCCTTCATTCCATAACTAGAAGCCTGTCTCCTCTTCCCCTTCCCCCATTTTGCCCATTCTCTTCCCTTCTCCCTTCAGGTAAACATCAGAGAACAATACATTTTGTTCTCTGTATTTATAGGTCTGAATCTGCTCTTTTTTCATTTTTTTTCCTTCTTCCTGTTCCTCTTCTTCTTCTTCTTCTTCTTTTTTTTTTTTTTTAAGTGGTCTCCATGCCTAATGTGGAGCCCAATGCAGGGCTTGAACTTACAACCCTGAGATCAAGACCTGAGCTGGGATCAAGAGTCAAGACGCTTAACCAACTGAGCCACCCAGGAGTCCTTGATTCTGCTTTTTGTTTATTCATTTGCTTTGTTTTTTAGATTTCACATATAAGTGAAATCATATGGTATTTGTCTTTCTCTGATTTATTTCACCTCTAGGTCCATCCTTGTTGTTGTAAATGGCAAGATCTCATCTTTTTTTTATGGCTGTGTAATATTCTGTTCTCTTTTTCTATCATACACACACACACACACACACACACACACACACACACACACACACGTGCCCCACATCTTCCTTATTCATTCTTCCATGTCTTGGCTACTATAAATAATGCTGTAATGAACATAGGGATGCATATATCTTTTTGAATGAGTGTTTTCGCTTTCTTTGGGTAAGTATCCAGTAGTAGAATTATTGGGTCATATGGTATTTCTATTTTTAATTTTTTGAGGAGCCTCCATGCTGTTTTCCACAGTGGTTGGACCAATTTACATTCCTACCAGCAATGCACATGGGTTCGCTATTCTCCACATCCTCACCAACACCTGTTAGTTTTGTGTCTGATTCTAGCCATTCTGACAAGTATGAGGTGTTCTCTCATTGTTTTGATTTGCATTTCCCTGATGATTGGTGATGTTGAGCTACTTTCCACGTGTCTGTTGGCCATCTGTATGTTTTCTTTGGAAACATGTCCGTTCAGGTTCTCTACCCATTTTCAATTAGATTTTTTGTTTTTTTTTCTTTTTTTGGCATAGAGTTGTAGGAGTCCTTTACATATTTTAGATATTAGCCCCTTACCAGATAGATCACTTGCAAGTATCTTTTCCCATTACTGTAGGTTGCCTTTTTGTTTTGTTGACTGTTACCTGGGGTGTGCAGAAGCTTTTTATTTTGATGTAGTCCCAGTAGTTTGCTTTTGCTTTTGTTTCCCTTGCCTCAGGAGACATTTCTAGAAAAATGTTGCT